AAAGCTCGATATTCGCTATAACGGATCAATTTTCTAACCAGCTATAGTAAAAATGATTCGATAAACCGGATCACGTGACTGGGAACCAATAAAATTTAAGTAACGTGATGCGGTAAATCTTAAATTTGGCCGGAATTATAAAAATCTTAATTCCGGCTGAAGTTAAGTATTACTTATATATTCAATTAAAATATTTTATATTCATTTTCATGACCTCTATAACTTAAAACTAGATGAAAAAAATCAAATTATAGTGTATATTAGTTTTATTAGCATGAAAATTTTTTAAAAATTCAATATAATAGATTTTCAATATATAGAAATTTTTTCGCTAAACCGGATATCCCGATAAACCGGATATTTTTAGTGGAACCGATAGATCCGGTTTATCGAATTTCACTGTGTATATATATATATAGGGAAAATTCAACCTCCAATATTTATTTTGCTGTTTTGCATTAACAGTTAATTAACTCTCTTTAGAAATAATTCTTCGACACATTATTGTATCTTCGAAATCGTTTGTGCATCCGTAATTTTATTCCTAAATCACCACCATTACTCGACTGCTGGTCTTCCGCTCTCCTTTTTATTTTCATTTTTTCTATCGTTTTTTTTATTCGTTTCACTTCTCCCTCTCAATTTCGTTTTTTTCGATCGGCTGTCAATTTTGTTTCCAAATCGTAATCCACTTATTCATTTTCCGTCATTTATTATTATTATTATTATTGTTGTTTCACTTTTCACTTTTAATTTTCGTTATTATTTTTTCTTTAGTTACCAATTTTCTATGCTTAGATTTTTCTTTTCCTCTCACTGTTTAGTGGGAATTTCGTTGTTTTCTTGAATTTTCTTTTCCAGAAATTTCGTTATTTTTACTTTTACAGTCACAATTCGAACAAATGCACTGCGAACACGTCGTAGGGATTTGTCCCAAGTATTCAAATTATTCAAATTAACTTATCTTTTTAATGTCTGTTTTTGATTAAATTTTAACATTTTATTGTATATTTTAATAAATCGTGGTTTGTTATTACATTTGTTTATTTTATAATTGCATTTAATCTTTCTAATGCTTGATTTATTTGTTATAGTTAGAAGATTATTTGGTTCGCCATTCCAACATTCTATAAAAAGAATATATATGATAATTTATAAAATTAACAAATTCGGAACCAATTAGAAAATGGAAGAAGGTCGGATTGTTTAAAAAATTTGGAAGAATGATAATAAAGGTATTATTAAATAAAATTAAAATATATTGTTTTAAAATAATGTTCACTAAAATGTTGGTTTAAATATATTTTTTAGTTACAAAAACTAAAGTCAACAAGTTAAACAAATGAGTTAATATAGAACTTTAATTTGGGAAAATTCGGTTTAGTTCATGAGATTAGTTTGCTGAAAAAAAATAAATTATTTATAAATTATTTATAATCAAATATTTTGTGATAGGTAAATTCGTTGATTGATATTTGCCGTTAAATTTTTATTTTTTTTATTTAACAATTTGTACAAATATAAATAAATACTTCACAATATTTATCATGAAAATATTTTATATGGAAATAATAAAATTTTTTAATTAAATACAATGGCTCACAAATTATTAATATACAATATTTTAAATTTAATATTAAAATTTAATTGATACAGTATGCGTATAAATTGACAGATTTATTGTATCAGTTGTTTATAATTGAATGTCATCAAATACTGAGATAATTACTGTAAGCTTGGATGAAGAATTTTATAGTCTGATTGAATACGGAGTCACTTAAGTAAATGAATAAGAAGTTTCGAGAACTGTATATTTTCTTGAATATGATTGGATTCAATCTAATTAACCAACAATCATTTCACCGACCGACACCATAAACAAATGGGGTATTTGTAATTATATCTTATAAATATCTAATAAAGAAACACGTATAAGTAAATAAATAAACAAATGAGGTATCATCTGCGTACGAATTAATAAAGTTATATCGTACAATAGTACGTGAATTTGAATTTTCTTAATTGGTGATTGTCATATGCTTTAGATTGCTTACCAAGAATATAAGATTTTTCTATAAATAATTCCCATTTACAGAAAAGGAATAAATATAAATATATGTGTCGGTTATTTGATTGTCGGCTATTTGAATGATTATCGGTAAAAGGTGTGTCGGCAAAACGATCAAAACGTACATGTGCCTGTCGTCCAAATTTTCGGTGGGTTGAATGCGACCCTATATACCTAATGTTTATCTATTATTTACGTTTATAGTTACTTTTTGAAATAAAAAATAAATTATATCTGTAACGTAAATTTAAAGCGGTTTCAAAACTTGAATTGGTATTATAATAGGTATCAAAAATATATGTAACTGAATTAACTTTTTTTTATCAAAAAGATAAATTATGATCACATATTTTCTCCCCTCTTTTTTTCAATATATATATAATATATATTGTAACGTATTTGTTTAATCGCATATTTTTGTTACGTGCGAAATAATAATATGATTTCGTATTTATTCTATTAATTTGACCGGTTTATAATAAAGTTTAACTCTTATTATTTTCAAGTTATTTACACAAAAGTTTCATAAAAAATTACTATTTATTGGTTTCTCGTCAGTAGACCGAAGAAATCTCACGGGAAGAATGAGTTTCAATAATATAACAAAGGAAAGTATTGTGTCATTTGTATCTTTTTTACTCTAATATTATTCATTAAATACAGTAATTCTTGATAATAATTTATTTTGTAAAAACAAATTTTTTTTATTAAAACTGATAATTACAAATATTATACATTTATACTTTTTACCATTCTGTGAAGTTACAAAATCAGAAACTGGCAAAATATTAAATTATTAAAAAATGGAAGAAAATCGAATCAGTGTAAAAATTTATAATAATCTAATAATTAAAAAAAAAATTGAAAAAAAACTTAAAAGTTTCGAAATGATCCTATTATTCAGGATCCAAGAAGCTAACTATATCGATACCTACAAAAAGAAAAAATATTTTTTTTCTAAAAAAACAAAATAAAGAATAAAAAAAATTTTTTAAAAGTTTTGAAGTAAAATGTAATGCTCCAAAACTTTCCACTACAAAAGAAAGTATAAGTGCCATTCAATATCAAATGAAAGTCCAGCAGGAACTTCCAAAGTCCTATGTAAAGAGACTGAAAACCCGTCCAAAAGAAAGAATGAATGAATAATTCATAAAGTTCGTTAAGAAAATATAAAAATAAAGGGAAAAATAGAGGAAAAAAATTGCAAAATAAAGAAACTTACAGTTCATTTTTCTTCTCATTGGAAGTAAGTTTTTGGTAAGTTAAATAATAATAATAATATTATTATTATTATTTACCTGTATCCGTGAAAAATTCATTGCGGAACTAAAAGCCAAAAAAATCCTAAAAAGAAAGCAAAATTTCGGCAAAAAAAAATTTTTTAAGAAAAAAAAAAAAAAATAGATTATCTTTCAGCATGCAAAACCATATTTGACTAGTCGATCTAAAGTTGGTCGAAACCTGTCAATCAGTCTGACGAAACTTTCAATTTTAATATTTTTATTTTTAATTAACTCATCCCTTATTAAGAAAAAAAAACATTATATTTATATACTGTATAAATGAATTATCACACGATTATTAAAGGAAAATAAATTATTTCATTTTGGTCAAATGGATCGTTTTTTCAATTAAATTTAATCCTTTATTTTTTAAAAAAAGTAAAATTATTAATTTTTTTTTAATTAAAAAGTCATTTTTGGCCGGATGGTTGAATGAATATTGAAAAACCATCAACCCGTCCGGCTGAAACTTTCTTAAAAATTTTCTTTGCCGATCAACTCTATCGTTGATGATTGTGGCTAGTACAGTATAATAATCTGCAACAGGCTAACCATTTTGAATCCAAAAATGAAAATATGAAACCAAATAACCTAAAGAGAAAATAAAGAAAAAAAATCGATTATATATATTTACGTATTTACAGAGTATAATATTGAAGTAGAATATAGTAATGATCAAAGTAAAATGAAAAAACAAAGACAAAGGGAAAAAAGGAGCAGCGAACAATACAAACAAGTAAGGAAATGAAAACAGAGAATACGAAATTGATAGTAAAATTAAACAAAGATTAATAGCTTATAATTTAGAATATGGAGTACATAACAACATATAAATTACTTTGAACGTGCATCTGTTGATAGTTTCTTAGCAGTTAATGATAATCAGTAGATATAAACTTTGTAGAATAATATATTACACTTTATTCGCTATTCGTAAATTATAAACTTCTTCCGTCATTTAGTCAAAGAATTTACAATAATAACCTATCCATAAAATTTACGGTCAAAATTTGTTATAGCGTGCGTATTTGTTTAATCGAATTTTTTTTTACGTAATAAAATGATTTCGTATTTATTCTATTAGGTTGTTTTAAAGCTTATTCTTATTATTTTCAAAGTTATTCACGCAAAAGTTTCATAATATAGTAAGTTACCATTTATTTCTCGCTAGTTGACTGAAGAAATCTAATAAATATATAAACTAAATTTGAGAAATTCATTAATAATTTGACATTTACAATATTAACTAAAACTATTATAATTCAATATATTATGTAGCACAAAGCTAAATTTTTACGTGAAAAAAATACCTTCTTAAAAAGATAACTCAATGTTCTAGAAATGAATGAAATGATTGAATGAATGATTTTGTAACTATATCAAGTTAAATTATCAAGTTATTTTTCATTACTCATCGTCTTCATTCACGTAAAATTTTTCAATAAATCATTGCAGATTATTTACATATCTTTTAGTATGAGTCGATCATTGGACGAAACCAACTCGTACAATCGTACTTCAAATGATCAACGTTGTCTTTTTTAGTAAAAAAACAATAATGTACAGTTTGGTAATACTACTTTTATAAAAAGAAGTTTCTAATATATAATGAATTTCCATTTTGTATCTATACCTATGCCAAATATAACTTTCTTCTTAATTTTCTGTGTTTTACCGATAAGTGATATAATACGGTATGACTAACGTTTATAATGATGCTGATAATGAGTATGTAGAAGAAAAAATTCAACGTTTTACGAATTCTTGGCAGGAAGTGTATAATCTTAATGCATGGGCCAGTATAATTTATCTTGTATTCTGGTTCCCTCCATGGACTTTATTTTGCTTCGTATGGGTACTCTGTACTGGTTCAATAAGTGTTGTTTTTTCGTTGGTGCTCCCTCCTTTGGGATATTTATTTTCTATAGCGACCGTAGCTTCTTGGAGGTATTGTACTATATATTAAAAAAAGAACACATAATTTATCTAAATGTTCATATTATTACAGAATATTTTTTTTTTCTGATACTGCTTTATTTATCAATTATTTTCTTTATTTAAACAGATCTTTGGCTAGAATTGAAGTAATTACAACTTCATTCTGTGCGAATCCAAAAAATTTTATCATTGATACTATCCCAGAAATAACACGTAGAACTCCACTTTATCCGATTACAAAAATTTCGCTTACAAATCCAGTTTATCCAAATACAATACGACTTGGAATAAAATTTTGTTTAAATAAATATACTTATGATTGTTTTTCTTATTTCGTATTATATAAATTTTTATTTTTTTTAGTATTTATTATGATTTTTCAAATATTTATAATTATAGCTTTACCACCTTTTATATACTTTGGATTACCAATAATTTGTACTTATTGTAGTAAATTTGGTGAAAAATTAATCTTAGATTCTAGAATTATTTTGGTACCTACTATAGAACTATAAAAAAATGAAGGAGAAAGTAAGTAATGAATCAATATTATCATTGGTTAAGTGTTTTATACAAATTTATTAATCTGTTTTAAGCATTTTTTTCTTAAAAAAAAAAATACAACGAAATAAGTTATATGTTTTACGTTATATTATAAGAGTATTTTTCAAAATATGATAATAAAATGTTTATTACGTAATAAAAGAGATTATTTGGAAAATTTGGTGTACTATAATAATTTGGGGTTTAAATACTCTTTCAAATACGGCATAAGATACATGATAAACATAAAACTGCAGATGAACTAGTCAGGCACAATTTTACGTTCATCGCAATAAACTATCTAGTAATTACGATCGAACAAATCTTTTGCCAACAATTTTATGAAAAAAAAATTCAAATTCAAATTCTACAAAATAATTTTTATTCGATGTATACATAAAGGTCGATCAATTTGTTCTTTCGATTTTCAAAACATAATTTAAGTCATAACTCATAATTAGAAAATCTTTTAATTTTAAAACCGAAAATTTTCGTGATAAAATTATTTTGCTGTCCGAAATAAATTTTGGACTAATTTTAATGCCGGCCAGAATTAGGTTTCAAATTGTTAATTCTGACCGATTTTTAATTCGGCCAGAATTATTGATTTTGATGATCTTACTATTCTAATACTACGTACTTTTATTTATTAATTTGATTGATGCACAATAATTAAATGATGCGTTAAATAAATCAAATGATACTAAAAATAAATTAGTTAAACCAATCAAGTTATAACAGATAAAAAGTGGTTCTTTTAAATATGCGAAAAGTAGCTCATATTTTCGAAAATAGTTAATTTGTGACGACAATCTGTGTTATATTCACTAGGGATGACAAAAAAACGTTTTAAAACAACATGCACTTTATTACTATGCATACATATTTTAACTTAATTTCATCATCTTTCAAGCACTTTTATAATACATATTTCAATATAATTTGTTTAATTTTCATCATCTTCAAACCAAATATCTTCACTAATCTCTTTTAGATTCTTAAATTTTAAGTAAAGAGTTACAGGGTTTTAATCCTACCATTATTTAAATTTTTAAACATGCATAATTTATTATAGACAAATCTCAAAACTGGACCAGTTGCGTTCAGCAGTAGCTGAAGATGTTGGAATTGAATGGACTCAACAGGCAAGTTCATCCACGTTCGTTAATTTTTCTAATGGTAGTCTTCCGCGGGACATAATTTTAGAATATAATATTTATTAGTCCGAAGCGAAGCGAAAGACTATAAATTCTCTGACGTAAAGTTTTCACGTGGCAATTTTTCACGTGTCTTCAACGAAATTTTGTGCTACTTCAATAAATCAAAATAAAAATAAATTTTTGGTACATTTAATATAATGATTATGAAAAATAATTTTTTATCGTTCTGGACTCACAACGGTATCTGTATTTATTAGAATATAATTGCGTGACGATCATGCCGATCAATGTTTTAAAAAAAAAACGCTTTAAATAAAAAAAACTTGTTGAGAACGTCATACTTAAAATCACGTGCCATCTCCAATACTCACCAACTTACGTTTACTTTCGAGATTTTAAATTTTTAATGTCAATTTTAATATTTCTTGCTTTTGCTTTTTTTTTACTTTCATGATTTACTATAATGTGTAACCATGCAAAATGTATGAGCTTACGAAACCATACATATTTGGCAGATCATTTCTAAAAATAATACTATTTAAACTTAAATCTAATGAAATGTCAGCAAATAACGAATATCTCTAGCAATCTCCGTTAAAATTAACAAAATAAAATTATTGTAAGGAATGTCAAAAGAAACAAAAGAAACTGAACTCAAAGAATCAAATATTTATATTGATTGGTTAGAAAAATCAATTGATGATGAACACATCAATTATTACAATTATTCAGAATTTAAAAGTTTAAAACATTTAGGAAGTGGTGCGTGTGGCAGTGTTTCTCGTGCTAATTGGAAAAATAGTTTGTTCGCTTTAAAATCTTTCAGTAATGATTATGAAACGCTTAAAGTTGTTGTCAATGAGGTATATTATATAATTTTGTAATCTTGAATCTTTATAATTTTTTTAAAGCTTTAAATTTATTAAATTTTTTATAGATAAAATTGCAAAAAAAAGTACATTTTCACGAAAATATCTTACAACTCTGTGGCATTACAAAGATAGGAACCGGCAAGTATTAGGATGTATTATTTAATTTAATATATAATATGTATGATTAATTACTTATTTTCTTCACACGTTGTATTTAGAAAAAAAATATTCGTTAGTTTTAGAATATGCTGACAGCGGCACATTACGAGCTTATTTAAACAAACAATTTAATGAACTTGATTGGAATGATAAATATTTGTTATCATTTCAATTATCTAGTGCAGTTGCATTTTTACATGATAATGATATTATCCACCGCGATCTGGTATGGTTAAAATTTTAAAAATATATTAGTTTTTTCAATAATATATTCTGAATAAATTTCTTCATATACTTATAGCATGCAGATAATGTACTTGTACATCAAAAAAAGATAAAGTTGGCAGACTTCGGATTGTCAGAAAAAATTGCTAATGCGTCAAGTAATACATCAAAAATATTCGGTGTAATACCTTTTATTGACCCGAAAAAATTAAATGACCATAGATACGAATTAAACAAAAAATCTGATGTGTATAGTTATGGGGTAATAATGTGGCAAGTTTCAAGCGGAATACAACCATTTTATAATCATAAGTATGACGGAAATTTATCCTTGTCTATAGTAAATGGTAAACGGGAAAAAATTATCAATAATACTCCCCTTGAATATGGTAATTTATATACAGGTAATGATTTTTCACAATATTTGGTTTTAAATGGGAATGTATTAATAATACTAATTTATTTTAATAATTAGAATGCTGGGAAGATGAGCCAAATAAGCGTCCTGATATGCAAAAAGTTGTTTTAGTTCTAAAATCAATAATTTTTCCTGATCAATATCTTAAAACTAATAACTATAAAGATGACCAAGAAACTTTAGATACAAATGGTGATTCAGATATAAATTATGGCTCATATATAAATGAAGATATAAATAATGATAGTGATGATTCAGATATTCATGATTTCGATATAAATAATAGTTTAGACATTAATAACAATTCAAATTTGGATAATATATTAAATTTCATGAGTTATGGAAATAGTTTGCCAAATCAAGTATGTAACCAATCAACAAGAATATTTGCTAGAAATAATCAATCAAATATATCAACTCAAACAAGTTTATCAAAGGATTCATTTGAATCAACAGTTAATAATATCAATAATTTATTGATTGAAAGATTAATTACAGTTATTATTAAAAAACATGATAAGGGTTATACTTTTGATCAAATTGAACAACTAATTGATCAAAAAACACTACAATTTAGTCAAATTACAAATGATCTCATTAATTGGCTTTCAATAAATCAGGATAAATCAGAATATATTTGGCTTTATGGATTATTTTATTATTATGGCATTGGAATAGAAGAAAATGACGAAAAAGCATTTGAATTATTTTCAAAAGCAGCAGAAAATAACTATTCAATAGCACAAGTTTACCTTGCTAAATGTTATAATGATGGATATGGAATTGAAAAAAATAAAAATCTAGCATTTAATTGGTATCAAAAAGGTGCTGAAAATAAAAGTATTATTGGACAATTTTATTTAGGATATTGCTATGAATTTAATATTGGAACTAAGAATAATGAAAATAAATTTATTGAATGGTATCAAAAAGCAGCTAATAATGGAAATATAACTGCAAAACTTTATCTAGCAAATTGCTATAGATTAGGAAAAGGAATTAAAAAAAATGAATCTAAAGCATTTGAATATTATAAAATATTAGCAGAAAAAAAAATTGCAGATGCTCAATATCAATTTGGAAATTGTTATTTTTATGGGGTTGGAATAGAAATTAATAGAGAACAAGCTTTTAATTGGTACGAGAAAGCAGCAAATAATGGAAATATAATTTCCAAATGCATTCTTGAACAAAATTATAATAAAAAAACTAGTAATAAAAAAAATAAAAATGCAGAAATAAAAATTCATAAAACAATATATTTTGAAGGATTAAGACGAATTGGAATTAATAATTATAATGGTATTGGAACAAAACAAAATTATAAAAAAGCAATTTATTATTTCCAAAAAGCAGCAGAAAACGGACATAAAATTGCGCAATGTGATTTAGGTGATTGCTATAGAAAAGGTAAAGGTGTGAAAAAAAATAGTAAAAAAGCTTTTAAATTATATCATAAATCAGCTGAACAAGGATATTTAACTGCACAATTTAAACTTGGATATTGCTATGAAAAAGGAGTTGGAACTGAAGTTAATGAAACAAAAGCATTTGAATTATATAAATTAGCAGCGAAAAAAGGGCATATTTCTGCACAAAACAATCTCGGATATTGTTATGATAATGGAATTGGAACTGAAGTTAATAAATCAAAAGCATTTGAATTATGCAAATCAGCAGCAGAAAAAGGGGATATTAGTGCACAATGTAATCTTGGATATTGTTATAATGAAGGAATTGGAACTGAAGTTAATAAATCAAAAGCATTTGAATTATATAAATTAGCAGCAGAAAAAGGACATATTACTGCACAAAACAAACTTGGATATTTATATGAATATGGTAAGGGTACAGAAAAGGATTTAGATAAAGCTATTTACTGGTATGACAAAGCAGTAAAAAGTGGTAATAATGCAGCACAATTTAACCTTGGGCGTTGTTATGAAAAAGGAATTGGAACTGAAGTTAATGAATTGGAAACATTTGAATTATATAAATTAGCAGCGGAAAAGGGCATTTAGATGCACAAAATAATCTTGGATATTCATAACTATATGATAAAGGCATAGAAATAGATTTAAATAAAGCCATTTATTGGTTTATTTAGTAATGCAGCAGAAAGTGGTGATAGTGCAGCACAATTTAACCTTGGATGTTGTCATGAAAAAGGATTTGGAACTGAAGTCAACAAAACAAAAGCATTTGAACTATATAAATAGTTGAAAAAGAACATTCAGCTGCACAATATCGACTTGGATATTGTTATGAAATAGGAATTGGAACTGACGTTAATAAATCAAAAGCATTTGAATTATATAAATCAGCAGCAGAAAGAGGACATATTTATGCACAATTTAACCTTGGATATTCATATCAGCATGGTGAAGGAACAAAAATAGATTTAGACAAAGCTATTTACTGGTATAATAAAGCAGCGGAAAATGGAATTGAAGTAGCACAATTTAATCTTGAATATTGTTATGAAATAGGAATTGGAAATAAATAAAATTAATTATTACACAAAATAAACTTGAATTTTTTTATGAAAGTTGTGGAATTACAGAAAAGGATTTATATTAAACCGTTTATGGTATAATAACCAAAGAGACAATTTTATTTAATAAATAGAATTTGTAACACTATTTTTAACATTTATAACAATGATTTGCTGATAGAAAATTATATTCTAAAAAAACATCTTATAAATAATATTGTTCAAAGTTATAATTATATATTTTTCCCGTTATCCCTTAAACTGTAGGGGTTAAAATTAATTTTAAAAATTTTTGAATTTTTAAAATATCTTAAGATCTAGTGATCATAGAAAGATGAAATTATATTTGTTAGATTCCTCTTATTAAGGCGCATTTAATGGTAATAAAATCATAACTCTAAAATTGATAGATAAAATGTTATATTAATTTATAAATTTTTAGATTTTATAAGTTATCCTGTCACATAATATTTGTAGAAGGACAATTTTTATTTATATTAGATTCTTCTTATTGAGACGCATCAAATGATGGTAAATTTATATTTCTAGGGTTAATAGATAAAAAGATATTTCAATTTAAAAAATTTAGCTACTATTTGTTATAATTTGTCGATCATTTACTTTTGAAAAATCATTATCCAAATTGAACTTTTTTTTCGATTTTTACTTAGAAAATACTATAGAATTTATTATAAAAATATTGGTTTATATAATAAAATATTTTAAGGTATTTAAAAGTGTCTTTAATTAAAAAACAAAATTGCAGGCAAATTTGGCTGCAAAACAGTTTAAGGGATAACTCT